TGAGATATGAGTGTTTAAACTTTTGTTAGCAAATTTGAAACGGTCACAAATTAGCTAAAAACGGCCTATTAAACTGATTTTTAGCTAATTTGTGACTGTTTCAAAATTGTTAACAAAAGTTTAAACTCTTATTATCTCAGTTAATCTTGGACGAATATGCCTGTCAAATATACCAAAATTTAAGTTAGATATTGCTGGATGCAATTAAACTCGATTTATGGTTCTACTGCTTATTGTTTCTGAGTTACAAGTAATCAAACAGTTGTACTTTTTTTTGTGCCACCCGGTATTTTTACCAAAAATGCATTAAGCCCTGGGCAAACTAGGAAACATTGGTGCGGAAACATTTGTGATTCTCGATGTATCTTCAAATGTTTCCATGTTTTCCCACCCATGGAAACATTGTTGCGGAAACAAAATTTGCTTCCTGGGAAGCAAAATGTTTCCTACCAAATTCAGAAACATTTGATGTTTCCCTATGTTTCTCACTAATGTTTCCTAGTTTTTGCCCACTCTGGGAAACATGGCGAAACATTGGTTAGAAATAATGTTTCCGCAACAATGTTTCCTAGTTTATTGATTCAATTATGATATACAAGCCATATTAAAATGAAACAAATTTCAACTTCCACACAACATGTAAGATGACGTTTCCAACAAATTGTCCAAAGGCGAGTTTCGAGGAGTGGAAATTCAGTAAAGGGTGTATTTTTTTGCGAAAATAAGCAATAAAAATGGCTTTTTCAACCGGCAAAGTTTTCTGTTTTAAAGATTCAAATTTGGTTTATCTGGATAGTTCTAAGACTAAGTATTCTACATCCACGAACTGAAAAAACGTCACGGGTATCAGCTTTATTTTCGACATATTTAACAAGTTTGAACGTGCTGGAGAAAACTAGTTTGCTCTTCAACTCCAAAAAACGTCTCTCTACATTCACGAAACTTTGTTTTGGAGTAAAGTTGAAATATTGTTGTTTGTTTTAAGCCTTTATTCTTCCTCAAAAAGCGATGTTTTGTGTCGAAAAACAGCCATTCTTTTGATGGTGTAATTTCGGCATCGGGCCTTCATGGCAGCCTTCAATGTGGCTTCAAAGATGGCGGCCGAGTTAGCATTGCAGTATTTGGAATAGATTATTTCGCTGGCCTCAGAGTGACAAAATGTAACAAAGCAACAGTTTTACTAACACTAACCGTACTTCAAACACCAACTCTAACTGTAACCCCAATCTTTACCCTGAGGGTAAGAAAATGATCTTCTGGTAATTGCCCAAATTACCCAATGAAATTACCGCTTTCCCAGAGTCTTATTGATGATTGTTCAGTGAACTGTACAAAGACTGCAGCATCAACTATTTTTTTGACCTCAGAATGACATTTTGTCAAAACTTTTTTCTTCAGGATTGGTTTAGAAACAAATTTGGAGTAGGGTTATGTTAGGGTTAGGATTTTAAAGTAGTTTTTAAACACAACAGTCGTGTATTTGAAAATGTACTTTTCATAATAATTTTAGTGCTGCAAACACCACAAGACTCCAAAGACCAAAACAGTCCTTCTTAACTAAATGTAGTTGTATGTATGTATGTATGTATGTATGTGTGTATGCATGTATGTATGTAAGTATGAATGTATGTATGTATGTATGTATGTAACATAGATAGTTAAAAGACTGGATGGGAAACTTGTGATCCTGTGTGATATTTTCATAGCAGACTGGCATGCTGATGGCGTCCTGTACCTTGTTAAAAATTATGACATCACAGAATCCAAAATAATTCCAAGTTTAACAGAAATACAACTGAGAATTTTGGCCAAAACGTGCAAAACAATACTACCATGCCACTCTACAATGTAATGTCTAAATATTGTTGGTCATTTTCAGGGAATACATCAAGCATTAAGGCGGATTTCAAGTCCTAGAACGAAGATCCTTGCAGCTTGCTGCGAGTGATGCATGAGCACTTTCATCCAATCACAATGCTAAACCGTTAATTGTAAGTAGATGCAAGTACTCGTAGCGAGCTGCGAAGAGCTTTGTGCGAGGACTGGAAAACCGCCTTTAGATGGTGAAATACGCATCGCAAATTTCAATTATATCGATAGCATGATTTCATTTAAAGCTATTTTAAACAAAATGTACAGGATAATATTAAAAATATTTGGGGGGTATCTGTCAATTTGAAGTTGCAAGTGTCTATGCTTTTGGCCCTTCCTTGCTTGTTTAGGCACAGGTTAAACCAAGATCTTGACCATTTTTCTGGGAATTTGATCTCATTCTTTCCGATCAACAATCTCTACTCATGTGAACCATCTTTTATTCTCGGATTTTCTTTACTTACTTTTTTCTTGTGAACCATCGATAGTTTCTCCATTTATTTGAGTTTAGGTCTTTTTGCTGGCACTTCAAGGCTTCTGGTTCCTCATGCTACCAGCACATTTCCCTAATCGAATCACATGTTATCATTGTATAAAATACCCAAGCATTTGTGTTGCCTGTCATCACTCAATGGCAGGGAATGCTTTTGAAAACCAAAAGTTGTGCAACAATAATTTTGAATCCTTAAGGTGCCAGTAAAAAGTCCTAAACTCAACCCAATGGAGAACTTAAAAAAAATTTTAAAAACTTGTGCAGGATGGTTCACAAGATCAGAAGGCAGTAAGCAAAGGGGCCCTCAAGCAAGGATATTTGCTGAACTCGAGATTGTTGTTCGGATGGGAAAAATTCCCAGATAAATTGTTTAAGATCTTGGTTTAATCTGTACCCAAAACGAACAAGAAGGTCCCAAAAGCACAGTGATTTGCAAGTACGTATTTATTGACAGATACTTCCAACATTTTTCTATATTATCCAAAACATTTTGTTTAAAATTGCTTAAATGAAATCATCCTAACCAGTTCTTAAACTAAATGTATAGTTGAACATATAACAACTTATTGGAAAACTCTGTCATGGAATTTTGCAAAATTTTGAATTTCCGGGATTGTATTCAAACTTTTGGCAAGTTACTGTGTGTGTGTGTGTGTGTGTGTATCTATGTACTACCTAGACAATGTATATTACATAGATTATTTAGGTATTTTTAGTTCCTATTTTTAGTTCCTTTCCCAGACTCTTTTAATTAGTCTTCATCTCAACACACTCTTATTATTTATCTCATTAGAATCTGACATTTTCATACATGTATTACAATTTAATAAATTAAATAAAACACTAAGTACAAGATAATTGATCATTTAGCAGCAACCAATCAGATGCAGCCTTCCGATCAGTACAGGTGTTAGCTCCTATATAGCAATATTGCAATTAGTCAATTAGTCATCCAGTAGTTATATTAGCAATTAGCTATCCGGGATTTTTGTATTGGCTTTTTACTCTTGTATCATATACTTGGCACTTCGCATCCTTGTAGCATAATCCATACAGCATAACCAAAATATACTTGCCACACAAAAGAATACAATACATCATTGCAAATAACATTTAAAAAAAACACATTTCTCAAAACATTGCAACTCAATTGGACATACAAATAAGAAGTTTGCAATATGGTCGAGTTTGATTAGTTCAATGAATTAAATATTAATCTGTCTTATATTAAGTTATAACAGCAGCCAATTTTATTAATCCCTGCCTGGATGCACCTTTGGCCCCTGATGCATTAATACGTAATAGTATAGTTACAGTCTAACAAGTGCATTAGTAACATAACAATACACCCTTTCAATAATTACGTCATAAATATTTTTGGCGTGGGAGCCTTGATCTCATGAGCCAATTACCTTACGTCTTTATTAACGAGAGCGAGGCTTCCAGGCCAAAAAAGTGTTTATGACATAGTTATCGGAAGGGTGTTTTAAGGGTGTTTCAGTAGCGCAATGGTCAGAGCAAATGCTGATCCATGCGTTCGATTGTCGCTTCGGACTCATGACACTTTTGTGAAACTTGTCAGTCAGCACACACTACTGAAAGTTGTTAGTTTTCTGCTGGTACTCTGGTTTCCTCCGACAGGAAATGTTGACAAGGTGGGTTAAGATTTGTCGCTAACAGTCAGAGGCTTCCATTTTAGCTGTCCTCTGTTATCAGACAGAGTCAAGGTGGCTGCCAGAGGCACCCTTAGAAAGCCTTCAACTCTATGTTGGACCGTGTTTTTCGCAATTCAGCTTAGCTGTCAGCTGCAAGTAAGGATAATTAGCACACTCCACTTGCATTCAAACCTGTATTATAAACTACAGTCTTTAAAAAACCTGATTTGCTCAATATTTGCCATTTTGTTATAAATTTTAACGTGAAAAATACACTGATATAGAAGTCTTTGAGGGAACAAAGTTTATTTGGCAAAATTCATGGTTTTAATTAATTTCTTTACTGCACATGGCTTTGATACTTTGCTTGTCGACCTTCTTCAGAAGATAACAGCTTTTGCCACTGCCAACTTTCGCTGTACTTCCAGGGTCTCCAAGTATTGGATTTCTCTTCACCAAAACTGCCACTAGTGTTTTTGCAATCATCAAGAGAAACAAAAGCAAAAGTGGAAAAATATTTTGTTAGTGAGCCTACCCTGCAGATAAATATTTTGTTAGATACCCTGCAAGGTATGCCAGCATTTTCATATCATTTGGCAATTCCGCTATACAAAATCCACCATAGTGCCATTTACATTAATGGGAAATACCTGTTCTTGAATTTCTGCAATCTCTACCATTAACTTCTGTATAAATCTACTGACTGGAATGCAACTCTCACTGCAGATAGCACCAAACAACAAATAATTGTCATTGCTGCTTAAGACACCTTTCTCAAGATTTAAAAACTCACTAACCAAGCACATGCAGTGTCGTACTTACCGAATGGTGCACCATCTCCACCTAAAGTAACATAAAATTTATTAGCCTCATCAAACCAAACAAGGTCAGCTGGTCTGAATACTAGGTAAAATTCAGCTAGCATAACTAGTAATTCCTTGATACTTCTATAGCAGCCTTGTATCTTATCATCTTCTTGAAGGCCACTGCATAATGTGTCATAGGTGCTATAAATGGTGCCAATATTTATGCTCTTAACAAAGGGCATCAACTTATTGTAAGGCACAAGCAATGGTATAGGGCAGTTGTTTATAGCAATGCGCTTTCCATATTTCTTATTGTTATTCAATTTTTGAAAGGATACATCCCTGTACACTTGACAATAATTCCTTTTCCCCATAATGCCCCCACCATAATGAACGGCAGCACTCGTTAGCATGTTTTCTTCTGAACCTTCGAAGTCTTTAAGAGATTGCTTTGTAAAGCTGTGGCAAAACACATTTTTAAAATTTATCTAGAAAGAACCTCAACCAATGTTGCTTTACTACATTTGGCATCAACTGTATCAAGCAAACCAACCTCTGCTGATTTACACCCCTTCCCCCCCCCCACCATGTATTTCTGATGCAGCCTGGTATGTTTCCTCCCTATGAGACCTAGCTACCTTCTCACCTATCTGTATTGTGCTATCTTTAAAAGTTGTTGGCATTTTCTTTCTATTCCCTATGGATCTAGCTGACAAATACTTTCTTTTCTTCCTAGCTGGCTCTGCAAGATCACTTCCTATATTTTTGAGCTGTTCTACATCCTTGACAATTTTCTCTATCTATTGAATCGATGTAAACAGAAAGTGAAAAATATCTTAATTTTCATGCAAAATATGTTTTGTCAATGACAGCAGGTCTTATAAAAGAACTCCTAGTTCACTATTCAACTTTTGCTAGCTTAGTTTATAGCTAGATGATTTTATCATGCTGAAGTTTGGCTTCCTTTCGAGCTTTCACAAAGGTTCCAACCCTCCGATTTGATCGAGAGGCTCCCGATTTCTTGGCAAATCTCCCGATTTATATTTAAACCCTGCGATTTTATGAATGAAAAGAAAAAATGTTACTTTTTCTAAAAGAATTCTTGTAAAAGCTGTTCACGTATGGTAAAAACGGTTGTCGGATCGACAAAAAAGCGGTATTTTGCCAAGAGGAGGCATGTATAAAAGTTGGACCGGATTGTGGTCCAGGTCAGACCAAGTCGGATTAGGTCGGATCTTTAAAAAATTTAGAAATATCAGAAAATATCAGGATATTCAGGGAAATGTTACTTACACAAATGGAAGTTTGCATTCTTTCCCGCGTTATTTACACAGCATGAAACAGCGTGGCAAATTTGCAAAATGGATGGCGACAAAGGTAAAACATTTTATGTTATTAGATTTTTAGACCACTTTTTTGAAAATTATTGCATTGAACTGCCTTATCAATATTTTATTTCCTTTAATTCCGGACTAGCGATTCGGTCATCTATGGATCTGGTCCGACTTTTGTACCTGCATGATCCAACCCGGACCACAATTGGGTCCGACTTTTATACCTGCACGATCCAACCTGATCCAACGCGGGTTGGCGATCCGATCCAACTATTATACCTGCCTGCCAAGAGGGGTATGACAAAACTTTGTACGACAAAGTTTCTGAATATTTCGCATGAAAGGCAAAAATTTACAGTTGTTGTATTCACGAGTCTCGGAATCAAGAAATGGTGCTTCTGAAAGAAAGTTAACGTTTTCTTGCCTTTACCAGATCTCCCAATTTTTGTCAAGTTGGAACGTCTGCTTTCATCATTGCTCCAATTTCGAAGCGCTGTCTCTTAGCAGGCATTTCTGACAAGTCGATCAAATTTACCAACAAAAATACAACAAACTACAAAAACAAAAAAACATATAATTGTCATATGATTACCGAAGCATATTTTAAAACTATGTACACAGAAAACAATGTTATACAGCCGAAGAAAAAACAAGCCTCAAAATAGCACATACTCACCAAATTACGATTAAATATCACTTTTTCTAAATCCTCCAACACTAAAATACACATAACAACTCTTCTACTTGACCGATTTTATTGATTTTTTTCACCACACGACAGACCTTTCTCTCCGGAATCCGGCAGCTTTCGTTGCCATAGCAACCAAACCTCGATCAAAATCTAGGGGGGTGAACAAAACCTATTTTCGCAGCAGATTAATTTGTTACCAGGCCGCCATTATATTGAATTTTCTGCAACAAAACAGCTGACGTGTGAGCGTTTCGATTTTGAAAGTTCTTGTGCCTGGCGTGATATAAATAACACAGTGTAAGTAAATGAAATAACGTATAAATTACTGTTTCAGTACCTCTCTCCTCCTTTCAAATTTAGAAACTTCATGGGAACAGCATGTTTACGGCTAAGTTCGCATACAGCCGTGTCATCAAGAGCATCATACATTCCTTTAGATCTGATTTCAGATCCTGCTTGAAAGTCACTGCAATCCTTAAGACATTTACAGGTAAAGATTGATTAACAAGTACAATGCATTTAAGCTAATATACTGTAATTCACATATTTTTTATATTTAAGCTATTTTTGTACTTGTACACTGTAAATTGAAGAGAGTCAAACCGATAGAAAAAGACTCCATTTCCGTCATTTTGACTCTTGCATATATTTTTATACAATCAAAAATAAGTAAGATATCATGATGTCATACAAAAATAGGTGTGAGGGTGATTTATTTCCCCCAAAAAGATCAGAGTGGGTGAAGGTATCAATTCTTTGCTACCTGAAATATGATGACATTTTCTGCATGTATAGCTCATTAATGTCTGATCCCTGGTACCTGAATTCTTCAAAGCTGTCAATAAATTGATCATATATCTTCTTTGACTACTTATTATTAGCATGACAAAATTACTGGATGCTGATTGGTTGAGAGGAGTACAATTATTTCATTAATTGTAGTATTAATTAGGGATTAATAGTACTCGTGATGTTTGGAAATTTGCCAAATTGGACTCGCCCCGGCGGCTCGTCCAATTTTGGCAAAATTTGCAAACATCACTTGTACTATTAATCCCTAATTGTACTCGCCATCGCATGATTACCTATACAAATTAGAAATACAAGCAGTACAATTAATATTAATATGAATTCATATTAATAAATTCATAATTCAGATAAAAAAAATTCAAAAGCAAACAAATTAATTCAAAATTAAACAAATTAAAAGTACTTGAAATTGATTTTATATAACAATAAACCAAGTTCCCAACCTAAATATTTTCAACATCTCCAAGGACATATTTTTGTATTGTAGATCATCTTCCCTCACCTTTTGAACTGGATGTTTTAAAAAGTCCAGAGCTTTCAGCATGTCATGGATGGAAACTTGACATTCCATCATAAGCTGCAAAGTCATTTCCATTAAATGTAATGTAAATGCCACACTAGGCTAAACTGGATTTGCAGGTCAAACACCACATTGGAGCAAACTTCTGCTACTGTGTAACAATTGCAATACTCAAAGACGATTTCACGATAAAAACATACAAGTAAAGACCAAGTTAAAATTATTATATGATATTTGAAAGCAAAGGCCGATCGATATCATGTCTTTGTGAGGACTTAAAGCAATAAATCTAGCTAAACTCAGTAACTGCGTTGAACTACAATACAGACTGGTATCAACAATTATGTATAGTCTACAAATTATCTTACACTAAGGTACATGCTCGCAGAAAATTAAGATATGCAGGATTTCAGTAAGTGTAGTGACCAGGAACATTCTCTCCCTGCCCAGGGTACACAATTACTACAAATACTGTATAAAAACATCACATACCCTGCACCAGTAGTTAATATTTCTCAAATACTGCATGTATGATGTACAGCTAGTACTTGCAGAATGACTGCATGATCGTATATGTACTTGTCATATTTTAATGTTTGCTATACCATGAGTTGTCGCATCACTTAGCCTACAATGATCCCATTAATTTTGTTTTATCATGAAGAGGCATACTGTACCATTTAAATCAACAACTGTGATTGGTTGCAGGTACGTTCCATTGCAATTGTGCCTCGCATTACACAGAACTCTTTCAGGAACATTATAGTCTTCCAGCATCCTTCCTTGAAATTCAAACAAAACATAGAATATCTTGCATTATCTAAAACTAACATTTAATTTCATGCAGAAATAATACATGAAATACTGTATATCACTTCAAGTATGCAAACCAACCCATTGAGTCATTCCAGTAAACTGTCATCCATGCCTCCCATACACAGAGGAAATTGGAAGTTAAACATTCTAACTTCTTCAGATGTCGTAATACACTATATAACTCCCGGCACGCAATGTTCGCAATTTGTGCCTGCTCGTTGCCGAGATTGTTCGTTTGAATACTGACAAGCTAGTAAGTTAATACTGATTCGCACGATAAATTTACACCCAATTCGCAATGTGTAGATTTGGTTCTTTAATATTAATCACGATAACTTGACGTAAAACTACAGAATACAAACATACGAAATACATAAGGAAATATACGCTACGAAAGTATAACAATACAAAGCAATTACATACACAAAGAGACTGACCGAGTTTCCTCTCTTGGCGAGCACGCACATCTAAAATATAACTAAAGTTTCTCTCAGTAAAATTGAGTTCTTTCTATAACAGTATAAACGTTCTTCGAGTCAAAGTTTTTCAATCCTTCGAGCCCACAAACATGTCGCACACATGAGCCCGCAGTTACATGGCTCCCCTAAATTGTAGCTAAACACAATTTATAATAATAGAGTTAATAAATGTTCCATACAAGGCTCTTCGGCGGGGATTCTTTAATCATTGGTTGTATCTTCAGAGTTCGACTTCAGAAGTAATACCAGCTTATGAACTGGTCTGTCCAGAATAGTCGTTGCTCGAACACGTTTTCCTTCTCTTGAAAGTGAAGGATCACTCACGATGATCTTTACCTTTCGAACGAGTCCGTCTTCAGAGGTATAAGCTTCTTTGACTCGAGCGGTCCGCCAGCAGTTTCTTGGCACGTTTTCTTCTTTAATCAATACGATATCGTCTGCTTGCATGTTTCTTTGGGGATGTACCCATTTCTGTCTTCGTTGCAAGGAGAGCATGAATTCCTTGTGCCAGCGCAGCCAAAACTGATTAACAAGGTATTGGACTCGACGCCATCGCTTCACGAGGTAGATGTCCGCTCGTTGGAATTCACCAGGGAGTGGTAAAAGGACTCGGGACTTCATGGTGAGCAGGTGGTTAGGGGTAAGTGTAGGAACAAATCGTCTGCTTCTTGTTCTACAGCTTCTGCTTTTAGGTCAACTTCGAACTCGTACGGTAAAATCAATAATCATTTAATACGGTTCGACTAAACAAAACAAATACATACAAAACTAAGACACTACACTATGAACTAATCGCATAATATGAAATAAAACTTACAGATATTGCCTCTGTTAGAGTAAAGTAAATTCTGTCAATAAGTTCAGACGAGAAACAGTCCGTTAGCGTTGACTTAGATATAGATTCTAAATAATTTCGCAGTCCAAACGAAGTTCAAATGTACTGAACGCATGACTACACGCGTTACATAATCACAATAAATTACCATATATACTAAATTAAAATACAATAAATCCGGAAGCAGGACTGAATCCTACAGTAAGTGGTTCGGTTCCGTAAGGTGAAGTCAGGTTGTCAGTAGTAAGTGGTCGGCTATTTACTATTGACTCAGCTTCGCACATAAATGTTCTTAGCGATTCTTCATCTAGTTGCGTACCATGATCATCAAGTAGGGCATCGAGAACATTTTGCACCGTTCTTATTTGGCGTTCCCACACTCCGCCCATGTGACTTGCCGTGGGTACGTTCGTCTGGAACTCTATCCAGTCGCATTCCTTCACAACTAGAAATTCTCGTACTTTGTCTTGATTCATTTCTTTCACTGCTTTGAGTAGTTCGTTTCGAGCACCCATTAAGTTTGTGCCTTGATCGGATCTCAGAATTCGTACGGGACCACGTCTTGCTAAGAAGCAGTGCAGTACGTTGATGAACGAGTCCGTTTCCAGTGTCTTGGACACCTCGAGATGTATCGTGCGAGACGCCAGGCAGGTGAACACGACTCCGTATCTCTTCATCTCTCGTCGTCCCTCCTTTATGCGCCAGGGGCCAAAGTAGTCTACACCGCATACCGTGAACGGAGGTGATGGTTCTAAACGGTCTTTGGGTAAGTCCGCCATCTTCTGACCTTGGGGGGGGGCACGTAGTTTCCTGCACGGTAGGCAATCGTAAATATGACGGGAGACCGCGGAGCTTCCGCCGGTTATCCAGAAACCATTTGCGCGTAGCTCGTTGAGGGTCATTCCGCGGCCCTGATGACGAATTCTTTGGTGATAGTGCTTGATAACTAATGCCGTTACGTGTCCCTTTCGCGGAAGAATGACTGGATGCCTGACATGAAACGGGACGCTAGCTCGGGTGAGGCGACCACCGACTCTGAGAATTCCTTCCTTGTCCAAGAATGGATTCAGGCGAAATAGAGAACTCGTTTGTTTCATAACAGTCTTACGTTGTCGGATACGGTCTCTGTCGTTAAAACTGTTCTCCTTCATATTACGCAGTAGTTGAATTTCCTTCGAGAATGAGATCTCTTGCACTGCCCTTACGATAGCTAGTTCAGCCTGACGAAGCTCTTCAACGTTGGATCGACGATATTGCAGTACGTTCGTCTTTGAAGAATTCTTGTCGTCTTGATGAATGCTCTTCGTTCGTTGTTGCCATCTCATGATCGCCGCTATGGCTCTCTTGGCGCGATGCCATTTGGAGAAGTACTCTAGACGCTCAGGAATCGTTAGGAAATTGTCGATCGACGTTTGGGTAGCAAGAACCGTTCTCCTGACTTCAGGATCGTCTTGCGACAGCGGGTGTTCGACGGCATCCACAAGGTTGAGTTGAGGGTTCTGGAGGAATGACGGACCAGAAAGCCAACGTTTGCTATCAAGAAGTTCTCGAGCGGTTAGACCTCTAGAGGCTTCGTCTGCTGGGTTTTCTTTACTTTTCACGTATCGCCACTGTTCAGGAGATGTCTCGTCACGAATCTGTTGGACTCTGTTGGCGACGAAAACGTGGAATCGTCAAGCTTCGTTATTAAGGTAGCCGAGCACCACCTTACTATCGGTCCAGTATACGTCGACGATGTTGTTATAATCTAGCTCTTTATGTAGCATGGTGCTGATTTTAACTGATACCAAAGCTGCCGTCAGCTCGAGGCGGGGTATTGTGATGGTTTTCAGGGGAGAGACACGGGATTTCGCCATAACGAGTTCGCAGTGGATGTATGAACACTGTCCGTATCCAGATGCACTTGCATCGGAAAAATGATGAAGCTCTGTGGATTTTACCGGGCCAAAATCATTTGGTCTGAAACATCTTCGCACTTTGAAGTCGTTGAGTAAACAGAGTTCGTTTCTCCACTTCTCCCACCTGATCCTAATATGATCTGGAACAGGGTCATCCCAATCGGTTCCTTCACGACACAGCTCTTGAAGCAGTTGTTTACCCACCAACAGGACAGGAGCCACTAATCCCAGGGGGTCGTATATCGAGCTAATTGTAGATAGGATGCCTCTTCGGGTTAGAGGAGTATCTTGAAGGGTGATACGCATCTGAAAGGTGTCTGACTCAACGCACCAGTAGACACCAAGCGCTCTTTCCATGGGTAGACGGTCGTTATGAAGGTCCAGGTTCTTCAGTGTAGAGGCACGGTCTTCCTGAGAGATTGCTGAAATAACTTCCTTCGAATTAGAAATGAACTTGTGAAGCCGTAGTCCTCCCTTCGCACACATTTCCTTAGTTTGTTGGATCAGAGTAGTGGCATGTTCAATAGTGTCGACCGATTTCAGTCCGTCGTCGACGTAGAAGTCGTTCCTTACAAAGTTGGCTGCTTCGCTTCCGAACTCTACTTCGTAGTCATCTGCGATCCTTTTTAAACCGAAGTTTGCACATCCTGGCGATGAGCCCGCACCGAAGAGGTGAACGGTCATCCTATACTCAATTGGCCGCTTCGAGGTGTCTCCATCTTCCCACCACAAGAATCGTAGGAAGTTTCGATGAGCTTCCACCACCTTGAACTGGTGGAACATCGCCTCCACGTCGCACATAAAGGCTGTAGAATCTTTCCTGAATCTGCAGAGCACACCCACGAGCTGGTTTGTGAGGTCCGGACCTTGTAGAAGGTAATCATTGAGTGATTCTCCCTTATAATTTACGCTGCAGTCAAATACTACTCGTATTTTCTCAGGTTTTCGTGGGTGGTATACCCCGTGGTGTGGGATATACCCCATACGTTGCCGTCTTCGTTGGCAAGTTCATTTTCGGGAACCCTTTCTGCGTAGTTCCTTTCGATAAGTTCGTTCATGAAGGTGATATAATCGTCGCGGTATCTCTTGTTGGTTTCCATGCGAGTCCGAAGCTTGGTTAAGCGATGCAAAGCAATTGATTTGTTATTAGGCAAAACTGGGCTGTCCTTTCGAAACGGTAGGGGCATTTCATAGTGTCCGTCCTCACGTTGGCGAACGCCTTGCTCCATTTTTAACAGAAATTTCTTGTCGTCTTGTGACATCGGTTGATCTGAACTTCTTTCCGAAAAGTCCGATTCTAACATTTCTCGAAACCGAACAGGATTGATAACCTCCTTGACGCTTGACTTGAATGCAAAGTGGCAGGTCCTCTGTGTAGACGCGTTGAGGAATTGGATGCTTTCTGTCGATATATGATTTGCAACGCCGCTTGAAACATTGTCCTCATCCGCTACTGCTCCGCCAACATTGCCAATAATTCCCCATCCAAGATCGGTCCTTTGAGCGTACGGTTCATTCGGTTTTCCAGGAATGACTTCACGTGGCATTATCGCTTGCGAACAGTTAGAGCCAATGAGAAGTCCTACGTTGATGTCTGTCTGCAGAGGGACTAAATGATGGGCAATGCTGTCGAGATGTGGCCATGGCTGAGCCATCTCGGGACATGGTATCTGTTGCCGCTTCGCTGGTATTGACTCACACGAGAAAGTTGTTGGAAGCTGTATAGTTGTGTTACGGTTTATGTCGCTCACTACGAGGCCCTTGATTCTCTGGCTAGGAACTAGTTCGTTCTCAGCGTGCATAGTGGATAGAGAAAGTTGTGTCTTAGGTCCATTGACTTGAAGACAGTTCATCGTTTCTTGCGAGATGAATGTTGTATCCGATTGGTCATCCAATAAGGCGTACACAAGTTTCTCTTCTTGAACATTGTCCGTGTGACTGATCCATACGGGTACGATCATAGAACTCATTCGGTGTTGATACCCATTGTTCATCAAGCACGTCTTGGTACAGCGAACCGTTGATTCATCAGGATCTCCTGGCGGGTTTGAATCTTTCTTATCGTTCGTCTCCTTTCTAACGTCTCCATGAAGAGATGTTGGATGTAATTTTCCGCATGTGTCGCAGGTTTTTCTTTTCTTGCAATATTTGGAAACGTGGCCTTGCTTTAGGCAACCGAAGCAAAGTCCTTTAGACTTGGTGAATTCTTTTCTTTCCTTTACGTCCTTCTTGCAGAATTCTTGACATGAATTAAGTTCGTGAGCTCCCTTACAGAGAATGCAGGAATTAACAGCTGGGCCTTCGTCTTTCGTTGTTTCGTGGTCGTTAGGGTCGTCTTCCTTCGACTTTGTCAACAAGGTGTTTCTAGGTCTTCCTCCATACTGCGTAGGAAACTTGCCTCTTGACGCACCATAAACTTGATTCCTTGGTCGCTTGGAATCGTCGTCCTTACCGATCTTTCGAAGGTTAACTGGATCGCAGGCTATGTCAGCTTCCTTCACAACGAATTTTACGAACTCTGAGAATGGAGGAAAACTTTCTTTCTCTTCCTTCCAGTTATACACCAATCTTCCCCATCTGACTGCAGCCCACCTTGGTAGCTTGGACATCATCTTATGATTCTCCTGATCATCGTCGAGAACTTTCAAACTGCTTATCCTCTCCATAGCTTTCTCACATTGGACGAGCAGATCTGCGTATTTCCTAAGACCATGACCGTCGTTTGGTGCAACTTGTGGCCATTCGTCAAGCCTTTTACGAAATGCAGATGCTACTGCAAATGAGTTTCCAAATCGTTTTGACAACTGTTTCTTCGCCCTTTCATAAGCGTCATCGCCATCGAGTAACATAAATCCTTCGACAATCGCCTTTGCTTCACCAGAAACATATTTTCCCAAATAATGCAGTTTTTCCGCAGAGTTAATCGCACGACTTTCTATTAGCGTTTCGAAGGCTTTCGCCCATACTGGGTACTGCAGGGGATCGCCAGAAAAGACGCCAGGCTCTGGCGAAGGTAGTCTACTTTGATTCTGGATTTCTAAGAGTTTCGATATCGTAGTCAGCTGGGTTTGGACTAGGTTGGGGTTTCCGAGGTTGTCGTCAATGGCAGTTGAAGATTGGTTCACATGGTTGAGGGGCGTTGAATTCTGTACGGTAGTATGTTGATGGACTTGCCCATTACTGGCATAGGTAGGTGCAAGGGGATTGAGTTGGAATGTTGCCATTGGCTCTTGATCATTAACGACTATAGGAACAGCTTGATTTCCTACTTCACGGGTCTGGGCTTCGTTACTGGACAAGTTCGGCTGAGAATCGAGAAATTTCTTAATATGTTCATCTACGCTAATCTGATCATTGTCCCCGAAGTCAGGCATTCCAACTTCTTCTTCAAACCTTTTACATGCGTTGATCCGGGCCTTCTTCTCAGCTAGCTCCTTTGAGATCTCATATTTCTCGGTGGCCATTTCTATCTGTTCTCTCACCCTTTTCTCTTCTCGCTCAATTTCAATCTTTTTCTCTTCAATTTGCTCCAGAGCTCTTCTATTCGCTATGTCCAAATCCTCCTTTACCTTAACCATGCTCATTTTAGCCTTAAGGCATGCTAATTCTTCTTCCAAATCAAGTCTGCGTTGTCGTGTAGACGAAGCGGTGCTCATAGTAGAATGACGAGATGATTTGCTTTTCCCAGATTTTCGGCTATATTTTGATGACGCCATGGAACATCTATCATCGTCAATTTTCTTTAGGTCGCATATAACCGCACCCACTTCTTTAAGTATCTGATTGGTTTCTTGACTCATTGTCTCGAATCTTCCGAATACAGTTATTCTTTCCATTTCTGACTCCAGAGTCTTATCTAGTCTTTCTTGCGCTTCAGTTAGTTCACGCATTAGCCTTATCAATGCTTGGGAGCCCTTCTCCAGTAATTCTATATTTCTATCATTTACTAGTTGGTAGTTCAGATTGTTAATTTGCCTTCTCCAGTTCCTTGAAGCTGCATGAAAATCATTTTGCAATTGCGGTAAAGACTTATCTTCAGTTAATTCTACATTTTCTCCACTGGTTTCGTCCATTTTGTCGTTTCCCTCAATATTTCGCGACGGATTTTCGTATTTCTCAAAGTTACGCAACATTCACGAACGCGAGCCGATGAATAACCGTCGATTTCCGATACCGTTCAAAATGGCGCCAAAACAACAAGCGTGGTCAACACAAATTCGCAAAAATTGTAATTATGTCGATGAATTTCGCTCAATAAATATCAAATTTACAAGTAGATGCAAAAGGTAAAGTACATAAACGATTGCTGACCTTCCAACGTAGAATATCTTTAGTTTCTGACTTGCTGTTCGTACATATACGTAGAGTTTCGTTTTACTATAACTCCCGGCACGCAATGTTCGCAATTTGTGCCTGCTCGTTGCCGACATTGTTCGTTTGAATACTGACAAGCTAGTAAGTTAATACTGATTCGCACGATAAATTTACATCCAATTCGCAATGTGTAGATTTGGTTCTTTAATATTAATCACGATAACTTGACGTAAAACTACAGATAACAAACATACGAAATACATAAGGAAATATAAGCTACGAAGTATAACAATACAAAGCAATTACATATATAAAGAGACTGACCGAATTTCCTCTCTTGGCGAGCACGCACAACTAAAATATATCTAAAGTTTCTCTCAGTAAAATCGAGTTCTTTCTATAACAGTATAAACGTTCTTCGAGTAAAAGTTTTTCAATCCTTCGAGCCCACGAACATGTCGCACACATGAGCCCGCAGTTACATGGCTCCCCTAAATTGTAGCTAAACACAATTTATAATAATAGAGTTAATAAATGTTCCATACAAGGCTCTTCGGCGGGGATTCTTTAATCATTGGTTGTATCTTCAGAGTTCGACTTCAGAAGTAATACCAGCTTATGAACTGGTCTGTCCAGAATAGTCGTTGCTCGAACACGTTTTCCTTCTCTTGAAAGTGAAGGATCACTCACGATGATCTTTACCTTTCGATATTGCGGTACGTTCGTCTTTGAAGAATTCTTGTCGTCTTGATGAATGCTCTTCGTTCGTTGTTGCCATCTCATGATCGCCGCTATGGCTCTCTTGGCGCGATGCCATTCGGAGAAGTACTCTAGACGCTCAGGAATCGTTAGGAAATTGTCGATCGACGTTTGGGTAGCAAGAACCGTTCTCTTGACTTCAGGATCGTCTTGCGACAGCGGGTGTTCGACGGCATCCACAAGGTCGAGTTGAGGGTTCTGGAGGAATGACGGACCAGAAAGCCAACGTTCGCTATCAAGAAGTTCTCGAGCGGTTAGACCTCTAGAGGCTTCGTCTGCTGGGTTTTCTTTACTTTTCACGTATCGCCACTGTTCAGGAGATGTCTCGTCACGAATCTGTTGGACTCTGTTGGCGACGAAAACGTGGAATCGTCGAGTTTCGTTATTAAGGTAGCCGAGCACCACCTTACTATCGGTCCAGTATACGTCGACGATGTTGTTATAATCTAGCTCTTTATGTAGCATGGTGCTGACTTTAACTGATACCAAAGCTGCCGTCAGCTCGAGGCGGGGTATTGTGATGGTTTTCAGGGGAGAGACACGGGATTTCGCCATAACGAGTTCGCAGTGGACTTCTTCGTGTACATTAACTAAACGTATGTATGAACACTCTGTGGATTTTACCGGGCCAAAATCGTTTGGTTTGAAACATCTTCGCACTTTGAAGTCGTTGAGTAAACAGAGTTCGTTTCTCCACTTCTCCCACCTGATCCTAATATGATCTGGAACAGGGTCATCCCAATCGGTTCCTTCACGACACAGCTCTTGAAGCAGTTGTTTACCCACCAACAGGACAGGAGCCACTAATCCCAGGGGGTCGTATATCGAGCTAATTGTAGATAGGATGCCTCTTCGGGTTAGAGGAGTATCTTGAAGGGTGATACGCATCTGAAAGGTGTCTGACTCAACGCACCAGTAGACACCAAGCGCTCTTTCCATGGGTAGACGGTCGTTATGAAGGTCCAGGTTCTTCAGTGTAGAGGCACGGTCTTCCTGAGAGATTGCTGAAATAACTTCCTTCGAATTAGAAATGAA